TGTCGTCGTCACGTCATTCTCTGTTGTCTTCCTCTCTTTCCTGTTCCTTTCATTTTTCCGAACAACAGATGTTATATTTTCCTGCTGTTGTCCATCCCACAATGTACAAATAGTGCCAGTTTTCTTCTCATCGCTGCCTGCAATATTTCTTCTTCTGTGCAACCTTTTTTCTTGCTTCTGTGTTGTTCAGTCTTTGAGTCCAGCTTAGATGCAGTACCATTCTGTTGCAATACAGTTCGAGTGTCAATATCTTATCTTTGTCAGTCTTTTTCAATCTTCAAGTCTCGCAGGAATACAAAGCTGTCCTGAAAACGCATGTTCTTTTGACATACATAGTAGGGGTTTCCAAAAAGATTTCCAAAATCTTAAACAAACACAAGATCCAAGTTCGTTTGAACACAGTACACAAAATCCGTGATTTGATCCAAAGTGTAAAGGATGTGATTCCTGATATGCAATACCCGGGTGTCTACAAACTAAGTTGTGGCTGCGGCAGCAGTTACATTGGGGAAATAAAACGACATGTCTCGGACCACGTTCGCGAACACAAGGCAGATCTGAAACATGGTAGGACCAATACCTCTGCTGTTGCTGATCATTGTTTTAACGCAGTGGGCTCACACGAAATTGACTTTTCCAAGACGAAGGTACACTGCAAACCCACCGGCTATTATCAGAGATTTGTTCATGAAGCCATCCAGATATATAAACACAGACACAACTTTAACCGAGAAGATGGGTACAAACTGAGCAATCATTGGAAGGACGTTATTAAGCAGGTAAAGTCTTAACTGACAGTGATGTTTCCATCCTGCCTGCCTATGTCAGCTGTTATTTCCGACTCTCTGTGTGTCTTTCTCTCTCTCTCTCTGTGCAGCTCTCTCCGATTTCTACTCCAGTGACCCGGGTGCTGCTGCGGGGTCCACTTTCTGCCCCGCCTCCTTCCCCCTCCCCCTTCTCTCTCCCCCCTTACTGCCGAGGCCTTTATAACTTCGTGCCACGGCAGGTCTCTCGCCTACTTCACTATACACTACACTATACACTACACTACTATACACTACACTATACGCTACACTATATACCACTACACTATACACCACTACACTATACACCACTACACTATACACCACTACACTATACACTACACTATACACTACACTATACACTACACTATACAGTACACTATACACTACACTACTATACACTACACTACTATACACTACACTATACACTACACCATACACTACATTATACACTATACACTACACTATACACTACACTACACACTACACTATACACTACACTACTATACACTACACTATACACTACACTATACAGTACACTACACACTACACTACTATACACTACACTACTATACACTACTCCCCTACTGCTGAGGCCTATATGACCTCGTGCCACGGAAGATCTCTCGCATACTTCAGCAGTTTTTTCTTGCCGTGGTTGTCCCACCTGATGACGATTGCTTGTGTTGCGATCGAAACGTCGTGATCTATTATTTTTATACCTACGTGACTTTACCGAAAGATCCAAACAGTATAGTACATATAGCTTGAATATGTTGGGTACCTATTGAGTCATGCATATGATTTCTATCGTTCAGCTGATGTATATATTAACCTATTTCGATGACGTATGCGTATGTCATCGGTTTTTCGTGAGATTCCATTCTGATGACATTACGTGTACAAAGCACATCTCTCAAGATCGTCGAGGAACCAGAGGCAAGCGGGAAAGCATCAGTCAGGTGGTGGTTCGCTGGCTTCACCAACGATTACCAAATCTATAATATAGGTTTTTTTTTGGGTTAGATCGCGTAAATATATAAATGTGTCAATAAACCTGACACCACCCGACACAGCCAATTAGTAAGGTTTGTCACGTGAATAAAACATGCTAATTTGTCACTAGTACAGTACACCGGTGTGTTGAACAGCCAAGCCACAACATTTAAAATCTGAGTACAACGTTTCACCAGTAATTACAACAAGCTTCATCATTTATATATATACGTGTTCTAACCACCCAAAAGTGTGTTATGGATGATATTGGTCATGAAAACCTACGTGTTAAACTTATTACCAAATCTCTGCGCGCCTCTATATATATTAAGATGTCTTTACATTTCGATTTAAAGCTTTCGTGACTGCAGGAATTCATCTTATTGGTTCTTTCGGTAAAGTCACGTAGAATGGAAATAATAAAACAATAAAAATAAAACATAATAAAATAATATAATAAAATAATAATATAAAACAACATAATAAAATATGATTTTATTATGTTTTATTTTTATTATTTTATTATTTCCATTCTACGTGACTTTACCGAAAGAACCAAGAAGAAGATGTCTTTAGTCAATGCATTTTTGTGTGTGTGAATGTGGGAATAAATTGGAGGACCCGGAGAAAACCTGCGCCTGAAACCTCGCTACACTCAATCCCATACAGAAGGGACAGACGATTTTAGTCCACACTTTGCTGTACAGAGTTCTCCTCGGCTCCCTCGGGCAGTGAGTTTCACAACATTCGAGGGGTCCCACCAGCCCTCGCCTTCACAGTGCGGGATTACAGGCCACGTGCATAGCCACTACTGATATCACGATGTCAAACTGCCATCACCCAGCCACATAGAGACGAGGAAACTCTCCCACACATGAGCCCACACATCCCAGTACAGTAAGCTGATGTTCAGATTTAATGTTTTTATTCATCACCACACACACATTGACCCTTGACAACACAATAAAATGTGATTCCAATTCACAGGTAACCCAGAACACAATCAAGTCTATGTATATTTACGCGATCTAACCCAAGACACCTTTATTATTGATAATATTGGTCGCGAAAGCCTATGTGTTAAAGTAAATTTGTTTAACCAGGTGAGAACTCAAGAGACCAGGATGAGTCTCGTCTGCAAGAGTGATTTCTGCTGCATTCGCTGCTTCTACTGCTGATGGTGATGATTATGTTGCTGCTGAAAATGCTTACGTTATTTTTGATGCTGTTAGTACTACTCCTGATGCTGACGATGATGATACTAATGATGGAGCTACCGCTGCTGATGCTGTAGGTCCTGCTGCTGTTACTAATTCTGCTGCAGATGACACTTCTGCTGATGCTGATGAAGATCGAGTCGAGTTGAATTTGAGTTCAACGAGGTGAGAACTCAGGAGATCAGGATGAGTCTCATTGACAAGAGTGACCTGGGTCACAAAAATGAAAAAAGCAAAACAAGTCAAACCGATGCTAGCAATGAAGCAAATAGAAATCTCACCCCCAGCCCAGAGCACAATGCGATTCGCGTTCACACAAGTACACAACTGGTACGGTATAATAAATGCGTCTCAAATCATCTACGCATTGCTAAACAGCCTGAGACTCGAGGTTGGGTTCACACCGGATTGGTGTCTCACGTTAGGGAGGGGCGCTGTGGTGGCTAGGAGATGTTAACTCCCTCGACTGGTATGCAGGAGGTCGTGAGTTGGATTCCGAACCTGACGGCTGCTGTATATTTAGAGTTTGCAGTGTCTCTCTCCCTGTAATAACAAATAGTGTCTGCGTATTATTAATGCGTGTTGAGACAATATTAGTCGTGTTGTAGTGGAAGGTATATCTTCACTCTAGATACATATCAGGCGCTTAATTACTTGAACCCACTTCAAAGTCAAAACACAGTTCCCATTGTTGTCAGCAGAGGGAGGCATTATCCCATGAATCGAAGGTTGTGGCTGCAGGTCCAAGTCTAAGTCTGAGAGCAGATATTACAATACTAATAAAAACAAACTTTAATATGAATAATATTGTTGGTGAAAGATCTCCTCCTCCTACTTTGCTTCTCTCTCTCTATGTCCTGTAAAATAAAACTGCTTTGGGTGGGTGGAGAAGTCACTCAACCCCTAGTTATAACAAACATATTTAGCCCAGCTCAAACACCACGAGTAGTCCCCCCCTAGTGATGCCATCCCATGCCCACCCCGGGTTTATCGCCCAACGAGCGAGTGACCACGAGAGGACGGCGCGCGTCACCCCACAGCGTCACGTGACGCGTGTTCCCAGCACGCCCGCGGTGGAGCTCCGCCCTCTCGGCGTTGAGCGCCACGCGGCGCGAGGGACGATGACGTCAGAGAGAAGCTTGGCTCCCCCCGCCCTCCCCCACCAGTGCGCTAACCACTGCACCACCGCTCCACCCCACACTACGCACATGGCTCTCTATACGCTAAAGGCAAAGATACCCTGTGTAGCCTTAACATACTGTTGGGCAAGTGCTGTTAGTAGCGAGTAGCACCTATGAAGGTCGGTACTGTGACACACGAGGGAGTGGGAAGGCAGCACCACGCCCAGAAATACACAAACACAAAGACACGCACAGACACAGTAACAAAGACACAAACACAATAACAAAAACACACAAAGGCATACACAGACACAGTAACAAAGACACAAAAACAATAACAAAGACACACAAAGGCATACACACCAAACCACTTACCCGAAAACAAAGATCCCCGTATTGCTTTAAAATAATGTTGAGTTAAGTGCTGTTAGTGAGTTTCACCTATGAAGGCCAGCCTGGCAGAGACCCGCCTTTGTATCCCCAGGGGTAATGTTTATTCATCGCACCAGGTAGTCATTTGAGGCTGAGTCGACCTAGGGGAGACCCATGACTAATTCATATAATCGCTATCAATGGTGTTGGTAAACCGGTCATGATCCTCCCCTAGGTCGACTCAGCCTGAAAAAAAGAGTTCCTGGTACGGTGTGTAAACATCATCACTGGGGAGACAAAGGCGGCTGGGCGTGGTGTTGGCCACTTACCCCCTAGTGTGCTGTGCCGGCCTTCATAGGGGCCGTCCATAAATGACGTCACGCGATTTTTGACCCCCCCCCCCTTCGTCACACGGCGTCACAAGTCAGACCCCCCCCCTCAAATATGACGTCACAAAGCTCTGCCCCCCCCCCCCCAAAAAAATGCGTCAATTAGCTTTAAGCTATTGTCATTGTAGTGCATATTTAATGTGGCGCTGCACTCTGATGTTGTAGGATAAAACATTTATTAAAAGTCTATTTAACTAAGTAGAACGTGTTGTCTATATTTATTTAAAGTTGCGCATTTTGACGTGACGTCACATTTCTCACCCCCCCCCCCCCAAGTGCGTGACTTCATTCATGGACGGCCCCATAGGTGCTCGCTAACAGCACTTGCCCCAGCAGTCTGTGACGGCTACACGGGGGATCTGTGTCTTTGTGTGCGTGAGTCTGTGCGTTGTGCGCTGCTCACACTCCGTGCTCTCAGGACGCACGACTCAGATCCAGAATCCTCACTGAGTCACCATCATCATCACCCACATACAGTGCGGGGTAGAGCGGTTGACTAAACGAGTGGTGGACGGAGTGCAGCAGCTCCATGGAGTCGGCGCGGTAAAACGACAGCAGCCCCGCCTCCCAGTGCAGGTGACACCCGACTCTCCGGGGAGGATCCCTCACCGGCACTGAGGTCCAGACACCACCATGACACACGTCGCAGCTGTTGTTGTCTTCATATAAAACCCAGGATGAGTCGTTTTCTCCCAGCTCGCACTCTTCACCACTCCCTTTCCGTGCGATCGTCCCGTACGCGACTCCAACCTGACAGTACCCCGCACCCCCCACGTCCACCTCCCAGTAGTGCTGACCCGACGAGAAGCTCTCGGAGCACAGGGCTTGTGCATAGCGATCAAAGCGGTGCGGGTGATGCGGGCGACCCTGGGAGACAGCGGTCCGCGTCACCGTCCTGAGGTCCGAGGAAATCTGGAGGTAGTTGTTGGCCGAGTTTGGGTCCCGAGTCGGTGAACGTCCGTCTGCAGTAACGATAATCACAGTAGCCGTGTTAACAACAGCACCACTATAACATCAGCACTCGTGCACTAACACGCACGTACACTACAATAGAGCAATTCATAATGAGCATTGTTATACAACGTTGTAATGCGTAGCTGTCGGTGTCATGACATGTAACGGGCACTTTGTTAATCCACTGCTGGATGAGGGCCTCCCTACACCGTGGGGTTCGCGGGGGATATTTGACCATACTTCACCACGCCGGTCACCGCGTGTTGGTGAAGGCAGGCGGCGCGGCTGGCGAGAGCACAGAAGTACAGTACAGCGGTGCGTTTGTCTGCCCCGCCATCTACATTTTTTAAAGTCGAGCTTCAGTTCAATATTCACTGTGTAATAGATGTAAAACATGTGATGATACCATCAAAATGTGAACTGCTCTATGTATTCTAATGCAAGGCTGAAAACTTAAAAGATATTAATTGCTTTCAACATGTATTTGTTAAAAATTTTAATTGAAATAGAACGATGAAACATAGAACAATTGTTAAGTTTTTTCGGTAAAGTCACGTAGGTAAAATAATAATAATACAATAATAAGTGATACAGTAAATTTAGCTGTGACGGTCCCACGTGAAGAAGGAGACTTGTGTTGCCTTCGAAACGTCGTGATTTAATTGAGTTATTTTCATTTATTATTATTTTATTTATTTATTTTTACCTACGTGACTTTACCGAAACAACCTAAGAGTATGAATCCTTGCAGTCACGAAAGCTTCAAATCTAGAATTAATTGTTAAGTTAAATCAATAAAGTTCAAATAATAAAAAATAAAACATTCCAATAAGAAAGTAATAGGACTTTTCAAAAATCTCAGCCTTTGCGATTTGCTAATCGCATTGTTTCAAATTGCGACTTCGATTTGAAATCGATTAATCGTTCAGCCCCACTGTGCGGTAGTGCCCGTGGGAGGCAGTGGATCACAGCAGCAGCGGCGTGGATATCAACACCGCCGCAGCGTCTCTGTGTGTGTACAACAAACACAAACATCTCCCGTGTGTCACCTTTCACAGGCTGTAGGGGCAAGTGGTGTTGGTGAGCACCTGTGAAGGCCGACACGGCACACGAGGTGTGTGTGTGATAGTGTAGTGATGTACACTCGTGTGTGTGTGTGATAGTGTAGTGATGTACACTCGTGTGTGTGAGATAGTGTAGTGATGTACACTCGTGTGTGTGTGATAGTGTAGTGATGTACACTCGTGTGTGTGTTAGTGTAGTGATGTACACTCGTGTGTGTGTGTGATAGTGTAGTGATGTACACTCGTGTGTGTGTGTGATAGTGTAGTGATGTACACTCGTGTGTGTGTGATGGTGTAGTGATGTACACTCGTGTGTGTGTGTGATAGTGTAGTGATGTACACTCGTGTGTGTGTGATGGTGTAGTGATGTACACTCGTGTGTGTGTGTGTGTGATAGTGTAGTGATGTACACTCGTGTGTGTGTTAGTGTAGTGATGTACACTCGTGTGTGTGTTAGTGTAGTGATGCACACTCGTGTGTGTGATGGTGTAGTGATGTACACTTGTGTGTGTGTGTGATAGTGTAGTGATGTACACTCGTGTGTGTGATAGTGTAGTGATGTACACTCGTGTGTGTGATGGTGTAGTGATGTACACTTGTGTGTGTGTGTGATAGTGTAGTGATGTACACTCGTGTGTGTGATAGTGTAGTGATGTACACTCGTGTGTGTGTGTGATAGTGTAGTGATGTACACTTGTGTGTGTGTGTGATAGTGTAGTGATGTACACTCGTGTGTGTGTGTGATGGTGTAGTGATGTACACTTGTGTGTGTGTGTGATAGTGTAGTGATGTACACTCGTGTGTGTGTGTGTGATGGTGTAGTGATGTACACTCGTGTGTGCATTTATTTTAATTTATGTATGCATTTTAGTAATACGTTAAGTCTAATTACAATTTTATACAACCCCATTAATGTATATTATGCCATATTAAATATAATTTCTTATACTCTGGAACGGATTCTTTCCTTTCCATTTATTTTTTATAGGAAAAATTCGTTTGGTATACGTCATTTTCGGTATAAGTCCTACCTTCTGGAACGAATTAACGACGCATACCGAGGTACCACTGTAAACTGAACTGGTGGGCTTAAGGCCCCTGTATTTATACTACTTTTTTATTACTGGAAAGTTCTTGAATGTTCTAGAAGTTACTACAAGTTACTACTCAGCACTGAATCTATCTGGAATTCCCATTGAAAATGTGTAAATTTCAAAATATCACTGTCTTGGTCACAAAAGCAAAGTTTGTGGTGAGTAATAGCCAGTTTGTGTACTTTTGAGGCATCAGCAATTAGAAAATAACACTTACTACCCAGGAACATTTTTTTACTACACAGTGTAATGAATCCTAATAATATCAGCCTTAGCTTGTGTGTGTCAAAGACTCAGTGCCATTGATGCTGAGAGCTTCAGACTTTAACACGGAACCCTAAGAATCCTAACTGTGTCTGAGTCTGTATCACGCTGCCTCAAGCACTAATAAAGAATCCTAGGAATATCAGCCATAGTGTCTCTGTGTAAAACACTCACACGCAGAATAGCAATAGCATCCTCATTGAATTATACACACGTGTAGGGTTAATAGAGCTCATGTAATACTCCTTTACACTCGTGTGTGTGCTGTATGTGAGCGTAGACTGAGTCTGCCCATGTATTGCAATACCTCTACGGCGTAGAGGTATTGCAATACATGGGCAATAGTAATGTATCTGTTTGCACAGTGATACACGTGGTCAGCCACAGCGATAGCCCAGTCTGGCTCTGTGAGCCTCAGGTATTAGCATTGAACCCCAATAATGCTTTAGATGCCTTAGTAGGGATATAGCAGCCTCAAGCATTATGAATGAAAAATGAGAATCCTTAGGCTGCCTTAGTATGGATATGAGCCTACATCATTAACAATGAATCCTAGGCATCACTACAGTGATGTAGTCTGGCTCGAGTCTGATGATGACATCCATTACAGAGAAGACGTATACTCGTAGTTTCATCTGCTACAATGGTTACTCTGGCCAACAGCATCTTCACTGGATAATACACACGTGTAATATCAATGGAGCTTATGTAATAGTGAAATACACTCGTGTGTGTGCTATATCTTATTGTCTAATGAATACATTACAGTCATAAAGTTGATGTTTGCACGTGCAGTGTAGTGATAGACAAGGTCGACCAATATTATGCCTTAATCTCGCTCTGTGAGCCTCAGACATTAACTGGGGAACCTAAGAATCCTAAAAATGCCTTTGTTTGACTCTCTGAACATCAGGCTGTTGACATGAAGCCTATAAATCTTCAAACGTGTCTTAGTCTGGATGTATGATCCTTGGGCATTACCAATCAACCCTAAGTTTATATAATCCATAAGAGGTATTTTTGGGGTTAGATCGCGTAAATATATAAATGTGTCGTTAAACCTGCCACCACCCGACACAGACAACTAGTAAGGGTTGTCACATAAACAGAACATGCCAATTCGTCACTAGTACAGCACGCCGGTGTGTTGGAGAGCCAAGCCACAACATTATTTAAATTTATATTGATTTAGTTATAAAAGCCATTTCACCATATGAATTCTGCAGGCCGCCTTTGTGTCCGCAGTGCTGATGGTTACAGGACGTACCCAGTACTCGTTTAAGCCAAGGGTTCATCTGGGAGAGGCTCAGAATTGGTTCTGAATCCACTCACCATTGATGATAGCCATGGCCGTGAGTCACGTGTAGGTGACCATGTTTGTAGCTCAGTGCACAGAGCATCCCATCATCATTGCACATCCGTACTCACTCTCGCTCATCTACACATACGCATACAAACAGACACAATTACAAGACCCTCCATATAGCCCAAACAGGCTGTGGGGCAAGAATTGTTAGCGAGTGACACTTCAAGGCCGGTATGGAACATGAGGGGGTGGGTGGCCAGCACCACGTAAGGCCGCCTTTGTCTCCCAAGTGGCAGTTTTTACACACTACACCAGGTAGTCATTTGATGCTGAGTCGACCTAGGGGAGGCTCATGACCGGTTCAGAAAATTGTCACTGGTGTTGGCTGTGAACGGGAATGGAATTTGTGTCGCTAGGTTCATATTGTAGCATGCTAACCCCTATGCCACCGCTCCGCAACATACACAGAAGACACAATTACATGTACAATAACACACATGCACACTTCTGAAGAGTCCGTGGAACTCACACATGAATGCCAGCAGGTTGACCACAGCTCCCTGCAGGGCGCTGATCGTGGCGATGTCTTCTTCGTCGGAAAATGAGGGTGGAGCTCCCTTTTGAGCGTCTCTCCTGTGAGACCAGAACCAGCAGTGACACAAACAGCCCGTGTCTTACACAGCATCATCACGCACAGCATCATCATTCACAGTATCATCACGCACGGCATCATCACACACGGCAACATTGCGCACAGCATCACAGCACACAACCCTTGTCTTACACAGCATCATTTCACACAGCATCATGCCACACATCATCACACAACATAACACAACATCATCACACAGCATGATCATCATACATCATCATCATCACACATTATCATCACACGGCCCATATTCCACACAAGGCGTCACTCCGTGTGTTTATTTGTGCGAGTTAATGAGTCCATACCGATATGTCTCTTTCAGGTGAACCTGCAGAAGTCAGACACAGGGCAGGGGGCGCGAGTCAGTTCACCTCCAGCCACGTTAACCACACGGTGATTGGTAGACGCGATGAGCTGGGCTGCGCTAAACCATTTGCATATCCCAGTGTTGTTGGTTGTAATCAAGACAAAGCCATGGACTCGTTATGACTCAATTATTCTTATCAGCAAGGTGTGGCCTCTAAAATTGTTGCCACTTGGTGTCCGATATTATGGCAAGGTGTCCGTGGCACTTGACATCGAGTTGCAGTGATTGTGAACCAACATTCAAAATAATGATCCACTGCGAGGGTGAATTACAACCAGAGCGTTACGTTGCCAAAGTCCATAATTTAGCAGGGTGAACATTTGTTGAGGCAAGCAATCTCGGGATTTGTTTAAACTTTCAAAGACTCATCAGCAGTCAATGCTGAAATATAACTGCTTCTGGCTTTCCTGATGTTAAAAGACCTTCCGTGTTCAGCATTACTAATGGTTGGTATACATTTGGTAAAATGAAAAATGTAAATGTAGTGTCAAGTGGCCTCAATCTGATGTACATTACAGGATGATGCGGTTACACTTTGTAATGCCAATGTCTGCATATATTACCAACCAATTAACTCGAGGAATTTGTGTGTTAATAGTTTTATTATTATTTTGAAATTCAGCGCTAGTTTATATTTTTATTACAATATACAAATCCAAGTTGGTGAACTTGACTCTACATTTACTTTCAGAACCCATGGGCTATATGCTGTCTTGACCATGGAAGTGGCGTTATCTTGTGTTTTGTGTTGCAACGCATCTGCCACGTTTACAAATACAATGAACACGCGAACTGGGGCACTCGCCCTGGCTCCGTGAGCGCTCTACCTGCAGGAACGTGAGTGAGTCCCTCTCCTCCTGCAGAGCGCGCAGGCGCGTGGCTGCTGCCTGCAGCTCGCTGATCTCGTGCTTGTAATGAGCGATGTTCTCCTCGATCCGGGACAGCAGCTCGCGCCCCTTCACGTCCACGCGATCCAGAGCTGCCCTTTCGTCTTCATCCAGCGTCGCCCTCATGCGGGTGAACTCGCCTGAGATGCGAGCCTTGGTCTGGACCATGGAATCCTTCAAGGGGCATGCAGTGGATTATATAAATTAATATTCCATGCTGTTAAGACAAAAGCCACATTGTTTTCCGGTTACTCCAAACCTATTTTTCCCTGCCTTCACGTTATGTCTTTAGACTCACATCCCATTGAACAGGTCGTTAACTTTAGGTATTTAGGTGCTATCTTGCCCTTCAATTTGATCATATCGTTTAATAAACAAAATCTTCTATATAAATAAACACATTGTCTCACCTCGGCTCCATCTTCATATAGTCCAAGCCGCCATCCTCCCCATCTTTGACTCGTGTGAAATCATCGACTGCCTCGCCTCTTGTTCCATTATACCACCTGGCCGCCCACTTTGACCTTGATGCCTCCATATCAACACATTATTGCAACATCTGTATCACCTCCAATTTATCCCCCCTGGATTTGTTTAGAGACCACCACTGGGCTGTCTTCATCCTAAGATTCCTTATAAACAAATCCACCAAGTATGTAAGGACCTCCTAACTCTACAAATTTCCAGTCGAAACCTCAATAAACTACCTCCCTGTTCTCTCTAAAATTACCATATGTTAAAACTAGGTTTTGCGACGCGTCCTTCCACGCTGCTGATACTACCCCATTAAATAAACACATTGAACTTATTGGAGTGTCCTGGCCTCAGCCTAGGCTGGGCTCCCTCCCCAGCCTCAAACACGATTAGAGGGCTGCGTAATGATTGAGATATGAACCAGTGCTGGACTCTAGCTTCACAAACCTGCACTGACCCACGCAACTAAGTATGGCCAACTAGCCTCAATGATCAACGCGATGTTGTGGAACCTTCGTCCAAAAGTGTATTGGTGAGGATCTGTAAATTATTTACCAAAACAGATAAGCACATTTCGATTTAAAGCTTTCGTGACTGCAGGGATTCATCTTCTTGGTTCTTTCGGTAAAGTCACGTAGAAGGGAAGTAATAAAATAATAAAAATAAAACAATAAAATAATTCTCACGACGTTTCGGCCACAACGCAAGCAGCCGTCCTCAGGTGAAAACCAGGTCTGTCGAGGCGACAGCGTCTGAATGAAACAGCACACGTGCTTGGAACATATATATAAGCTGGGTTGGAAGGGGGGGAAAGGGCGCTTTGACAAAAGAATTTGCATATCAATAGGAATTTAGCATATTTATGGGAAATTGTGACTTATTGATTGTAAATAAAAAAGCCAATCGTATGGGGAATTGTTAGCATATGAAACTGAATGTTAAATTAATATCTAATAGAATAAGTACCCTGTCGGAGGTTGCTCCACCGATCATTTTTGCTACGATTATGTAAGTTTGTATTTGAGTAAGAGTAAGTCTTGTACCATTAAGTAGTCCTCACAATGACATTAGGTTTCTAAGGCGCATGATAACGGCTCCTACTTTAAGTTTTAGTTGATGAGGAGGCATTCCGGTTGGAGTAAGACTTTAACAATTCTTCCGGGATTGCAAGTTGATCAGCAGTATCATCACTCGCAATAGTATCCACGCACTAGAAAAGCACTCAGCTCCATTGTTGAGATAAAAAAAGTCTGCATTTGTAACATTCAGTATTGCGCTTCATTTAAGCTGTTCGGGAGTAATCGTAGAAAAGTAAATGTCACCGTATAGTTGCACAAATGTATCTTGACTTTCTGGATAGCAGTGTGAGGGTAATGTTGCTGTATCGTCTGTTTTTCCATCAACAACGTCCAGGAGCTATTCCACAAGTTCCGTTTCACTTTCCAGAGCTCGCAAATTCTGTTTCAGCTTCAGCACCTGTAATTCTCCCCAGAAACGATGCTTCTTTATACAAGAGGCCGTGATCCACGTAAAGTAACCAGTAGGACTTGCCTCCAAATTGTTTACATTTAACTGTTCGATAACCCAATAAGCTATCAACAGCCTGGCATACGTGTGTGCTTCATCCCAGACAATTCGTTTCGATTGGAATATATTTGTGGCTTCGTGTTTGGCTTTATATTGCAAGTCAATGTTGCAGTTATTTTCAACAGGATTTTAGAGACTGAATGAGCAGATCAGCTTCCAGCTAATAGTTTTGCTGGTATTCCTGTTGACGTAACTGGTGTTGCTATATCCCCTTTACCTCTAATAGTAGAGTGACATAGTGCTGACTCTTGTACAGCAGCTGCAACTGTAGGTGGGCCGTTAGCACACACGCCATTGAACATATATGTGTAGGACTTGAGTTATAGCGCGCCACACATTCTCTTCCACTGTTGCTATGCGAGCGAGCAGAGTACAGTGGGGGGTATGTGAGGACAGGGTTGTTGTTGTGGGATTAGGTGAGGGGGTAGTTAAGTGTTGAGACAGGTGTTCGGGGTAGCCGGGGGGACACAGGCCAGAGATTGGCTAAGAGGGTAATTGGGTATTACCTGGCATCGCGCTGGCGGCAAAAACAAGGTCACGTGAGACCGGGGGCCAGGGGGCGAGTAATAAGCGGGGGGTTGAGATAATTAATGGGGATTAATTGGTATGGGGATATAAACCACAACGCGACAGCGAGAGGGGGTCTTCTGGTCGGCGTCTTGGATGGAGCTGCAGCAACGGTGCCCGGGGAATCGCAGAGCAGGCGGTGACGGTAGTAGAGCAGAGAAAGAGTGGGTTAGCAGCGACAGACGGAGTGGAGATAGAGAGACAGTGATAGCGAGAACGCAGTGTGCGAACAGGGGTAGCCATGCATCTGAAGGATGCAGTGTAGAATAGCAGTAGAGTCGACAGACCTAGCGAGAGAGAGAGACGCGGAGGAGACGCGGCGCGGCGAGAGAGAGACGCAGAGGAGACGCGGCGCGGCGAGAGAGAGACGCGGAGAGACGTGAGGGCACGGAGCGACGCGGAGCGGAGTGAGGGCACGGAGCGACGCGGAGCGGAGTGAGGGCACGGAGAGACGCAGAGCGGTGGCGCGGCGGAGGTGGACTCTTAAGCGGAAAATAAAGAGAACAAAAAGACAGCCGAGTACGAGTCCTACATATGCGTGTGTGCTGGTAGGGTGGAGGAACTGGGGCAAGGGTCACGGTAGACCTCGTGGGGAAGCCCCAAGAACCCTCTGGTGGGTTCGAGAAGGGAGGCGTGGCTAGGGCGGAGCCAAGCCGCGCTGAGGGGAATATAAGCAGCAGAGAGCGAGAGCTCCAGGCTGCCGGTTCTGGGAGTGGACTCGTCTCTTCGTCGTCGCTACCGCCTTCACCTGGGCATTGCGCGGCCGGACAGTAGTTTGCTGTCTCGATCGACGCCATCGGTGCAATGCGGCAGGGTCGTGTCTGGGCCGGGTCGTGCGGCAGCATGGTCGTGAGAGTGGGAGCCAGAGTTGGTGGCGTGCACACAACACCAATAAAAGGGGAGGATGGTGCCTCCTGCGACTACCCCGTCTCTGACTGAGTGTGTGCGACGCACGCCACCCGCACACACACACAAGCCTCCAACAAGAAGGAAGAAGAGACCTATGACACTACACTTCGAAAGAGTGATAGATGCCATTCAGGACAATAGCACGGGATATATATATGCAAGGAGACAGAATAAAGATTCGTGGACGACATAGATCTAATGGAAAATAAGACTCATAGTCCTGCAGCAAAGTGTTCATACGCTCAATAAGTTAGGAAAGGATGCAAGACTGAGGATTAACGTGGAAAAGAAAAGGCAAAGACAATGGTGTTCTGAAGGGATACATTGAGAAAGAAGCAATAATACAAAGAAGCAAGATTGTGAATGTAAAGGAACTTGTATTCCTTGGGACATCTATTGACATGGGACAATGACTACACTAAAGACGCAAAAAGAGCGAGAATCGCAAAGGCAAAATGATTAATGGCAGGATTTAATAACATCTGGAGAAGCAAGCAAATCAGCTACAAGAACAAACTGAACATCATAAGAACATGTGTGTTCAGTACAGCTTTGTATGCTTGCGAGACTTGGACATTAACAAATACTGACAGACATAAGATATTGGTACTCGAAATGTATTGCTATAGAAGGATACTGCATCTAAGCTGAACCCAAAGAGTGACCAACGTAGAAGTAAGAAAATATGGCACACAGAAGAAGACCTGATGATGCAGCAATGATAAGGAAACTGGCACTACACATATGTAGTATGGAAAACAACAAGCAAATGAAAACTATGTTGTTGTTCAGAAATATGGAAGGAACCGGAAAGAGAGTTAGACCTCACAGAGAATGGATTGACATTAAAGATTGGTACCAGGAAGATGTGGCACTACTACAGCATATTGACAAGATAGAGAGAGGAAAGTGGAAACCAATGACGATATTGGCAGTAGACGCCTACTCCGGGCTATCTGCCCATGGATCGTCATGATGATGTTCACCAGGTAGGGCAGTGGTGGTGTGGTGGTCATCAAACTGTGTGGTGAGTCATGTATGAATGGGTGCTGAGCTGTTTTCACCAACCCACATTGACCAGCATGGTAATGTATTGTTAAGCAATCTGCTAGCATGAAGGTTGTGGCAAGGCCTCAATGTTACACTGGTTTAACAAAGGGTATAATTTATCCATAAGAGTTCTTTTTAATACATGTATAGTGTAATAGTGCCGGCTGGTGGACAGCGGCGGAAACTGAGGTGGACAAACAGTACACACGCCGATGAGGGTGTGCACGGTGTGTTGGCAGAGAGAAAGAACTCCGGCAAGGGTCATGGAGGACCCCATCTGGACGCCCCTGGAACCTGCTAGCAGGTTTGAGAAGGGAGGTGCGGTCAGGGCGGAGCCAGGCCGCTCTGGGAGCATAAAAGGAGCCGAGAGTGGGGTCTCGGGGCTGCCGGTTCTGGGAGTGGACTTGTCTCGTTGTTGCTGTCAATTCGTTGCCGTCATCACTGCCGTCTTCACTAGATATTGCGCTGCTAAAAGTTGTTGGCTCAGTCGGCATGGTCAGTGTTTGACCGTTAGTGTTGTATACAGGCTAGGCTAAGCAACTGTGGAGAGTGTATGGACAAAACTGTAGAAGATGATAAACAAAAGGTGCCTCCTACGAACCTTGTCTCCGAATCATTGAAACTACAAATGCACAATGTACATACATGATATATATCTTGTGTGTTGATTAACTGTGAACAACCCAACCAATAGTAGATATCAATTGCAATTTATATAAATACACGAACCCCTCCCCCATCCCCTGGTCTCCGAACCTGATTGGCTCACAAGTGATGACATCACATTTATTTATTTTTTTAAGAACAATTCTGGCTGTGGCCTGATGAAGCTGGTTGCAATTACCGGTGAAATGTCATACTCAAATTGTAAATGTTGTGGGTTTCCTCTCCAACACACCGGTTTGCTGAACTAGTAATATCTAATTGTCATGTTTTGTTTTTGTGACAAACCTTACAAATTGGCTGTGTTGGGTGGTGGTGGGTTTAATGACACATTCATATTGTCACGATCTAACTTAAAAAAAAAACTCTAATTTGGATAATAATAGTCGCAAAAGCCTAAGTGTTAACCTGGTGTAAATTATTATTAGCATCACAAGGTGACTTGATGGAGGATAAAAATCATTTTTTAGCAGGCCGGAGTGTAGCAATGCTCATGACACATTGCCAGGCAACTCTGTCCTGGGTTACACACCATGCGGAGTGCAGGCCGCCTAGATTACAATGCCTGAGATCGGCCTCAATCGTGCGCGTTCAGGTCAGCCTCGGCCTGCCCCTGGGCCACCTCCAATCCTGAGTAAGGCCATCAATGATTGCACACAGTGCTCTGGTGGAATCATCCAATGCGTCAGCCCTGCAATGTGTCCACAGAGCCAGATCCTTCTGGCTGTGACTGCTTCAAACAGCAACTGTCATGCTGTTCATCGATGGACTCCGGTATTTGAGATACATTCGCAGAGTGAATGTGAAGTCTCCGTCGCAAGCAACACTGGTCAAAGGCGTCCAGTTCTCTATATGAGGATATGCCCTATTCTAGGTCATATATTTAGTTAGAATGTAAATCCATGCAGTTGATAACAAATAGGCTCAAACCCATTCCTTGCAGAAATGTTAAAAGTATACGCAATTGCATCAATATCGGTTGCCTTATACCAGGAGTGGGGAACATTTTTTCTGCCAAGGGCCATTGGACATTTATAACATCATTCGCCGCCCATGCAAAAGTATAAACTTAAAAGATTATCCCGTTATATTTGGTCAAAACATTTAATTAACTCACCCCTAATGTGATGGCTGGAACTGCCAAATGATTTCGCGAGTTTTATGCGGCCCGCGGGCCGGACGTTCCCCACCCCTGCCTTATATGCACAACACCAAGATTCAGTCATTAATACATCACAATGAATGCAAACTGAAATGCAAGTAAAACAAGTTTTAACATTCCATTACGTATGAATTGTCTATTGTATACTTGGGTGTGTGATGAAACAGTTTTCCCTGCGTTCCCTGTCATATATCTTCAAGTCAACTCTTGTGTTCTAGAATTAAAGAGCTAAGATTTTCTATGAAATTTTATCACAATCTTTACTACTTTTAAGTGTTAGTTTTTACTCCAATGCACTTTTATTTTATCAAACCCATAAAAGTCATTCGAGTTATCCCGTATACAGCTTTGCAGTGGTACTAAAAATAAACGTGTGTTATAAACGTTGCATTTTTAAATCCACATTCAAGCAGCAATATAAATAATGTATTGCTATTTCCAATGATACTGAAGGCTCACTTGAATCTACGGAGTTGTCCTCATAGAGAGAGTCACAGACTTTACGCAGGGTGGAGGCCACGAGATTACAGAGCCCACAGGTCATACCTGCACGTCTTTGCGAGTGGCCTTCATCTGTCCCACAGATGCCTCCGCTTTCTTCCTCTTCTCATCCACCGCTCGCGTCTCTTCTCCGACTCTACTCTGTAAGAGACGAAGTCACCAGAGGGGACTCCACTCCTTGAGCGGCTCCCTCTCAGCCCCACTCCACACAGAGCCCTCCACAGTGACAGCTCTAGAATTGCCCACCAGAAGAGTGCCACGGAAGTCAGCCTGGACTGACTGAACAATATGTAAGCAAGAAGGCACAATGAAGAGAGAATAATAACTTCATGTTTTCTTTAATGCGATGTAGAAGTTGCGAATTTGTCAGCTCGTGTCCAGGTGTTGTAGAAGCCACAGCAGGGGACAGGGACATGATCGTTCAACACAATGGCTCTTCACTTCACGAGCAACGGCTCACTCAAAAAGCCTCGACCCACCCTCCTCCTCCCTGCACTCAAACTCCTGTCCCTTCCTTTCCCTGCCAAAACCGAATGGCTACCTTGAACTGAAGCGATCCCATTCTAACACACTGAGGTACTCACCTTCTGTGTCTCATGCTCATCCTCCAGTGTGACGGCATTATGCCCTCTATGTTCTCCGATAATGGTACAGGTCATGCACACCAGGCTCGCGTCCTGCTTGCAGTAGAATTTGAGCTCCTCTTTGTGCTTCTTGCATCTTCTTTCCTCCAAGCTGACAATGGGAGCCACCAGGACGTGGTCCTTCAACTTGGGGTTTATTAGATGAGGCTTTAGGTGGGACTCACAAAGGGACATCTCACACCTGAGGCAGGTCTTCACTGCAGGAGTCTCCCCATCACCACAGGCGTCACAGAAGACAACTGCAGCCATCCTCTCTCCAACTCTGAGCTGCTCCACCAGGTTGGCGAGCGCCACGTTCCTCTTCAGCTGGGGTCGCTCAGGGAAGGCCGCTCGGCACTGCGGGCAGCTGAAGCTGCTCGCTCTCTCCCAGGCACCGTCCAGACACCGGAGGCAGAACGAGTGTCCGCAGCTCAGCGTGGAGGGGCAGTCAAACGTGCGCAGGCAGATGGGGCAGCTCAGCTCACTGTCGACACAATCACTGGGAGACGCACTCGCCATGGCCTATGGCTTCACTCGGACTCAGTCGCTCGCCACGGCTCACAGAGGAGCTATCGCAGCAGCAGCAGCTCACACAGTGGAGACGAACAAGGAAATGAACTGACTTCACCTCCAGTTAAGTTATAAATACCTCGAGACACGCCCTGGAATGTTCCACACGGCGGCTGGGCTCACCTGTGTAGACGTGGCGTTACAGTGACGCACTGTGTAATAGCTAAACCTGACTTTTGTGTTTAGTTTGTTGTCCTTCCCCTGCACTTCCAATTATCACGGTTGGCTACGTACGGTGTGGAAGAAGTCCAACAAACATACATAGCTTTGACCGGTCTCAAGTGATAAAATATTTGTACAAACAAAACCCAGCAGCAGCCACCCGGGACACAGCGATAATGGTTTGTCCCAAGGCTGATTGATGGGCAAGGGTCAGGCTGTGTGCATTGCACAATGGAACCGCACCTTGTACAAACATTCTGATGTAAAGGTGAACTTGTTTTTTTCCATGTGTGTCTTTATCCATTTTTTTCTTGCAAGGCCTTTTTAAAGTTCGCAGTCTGTAATCGTCTTCCACCTTTATCAACTAATATTTTAACTACTGGCTTCATGCACCCTCTGTTCATCTGTCAATAATTGTTTCGTTTTTTTTATTCTGACTACACCGTATTATGCCGAGTGGATGGTGGTTGTATGTATGTTGAACTTCTTTTTCACCGTACGTAGTCAACCGTGCTAATGGAGGGTGTGTGGGTAAGTGTGTAGGTGGGTGTTTGGTTTAGTGTGTGGGTGAGTGTGTATGTTGAACATATCTCGCAGCGTACGTAGCCACTCGTACTAATCTAAGGTGCGAGTGAGTGGGTGGTGGAGTTTGAGTGAGTAAGTGGGGGGTTATTTGGTGAGAGGGGAGACAGATGAGCAGGAGGATGGCGTGAAGGGTGGACGAGCAGGCGGTGAGGGAGGGCTGGAGGAAGGGTGGCTGGGAGGGGCGTGCGGTTGAGTGGTTGGGTCACTGGGTGGGTGGCCTCACGCATTTCCACAGCAAACAGCCCCTGGCTCAACAAACATCGTGGTTCATTTAAGCTTATTATCTGTATGACTTTCACCGTCCATTTTCCTATTATGCGTAAAAAAATCGAGGATTTAAATCTTAATAACCTAAACAATATATATTCATCACCTATTGTTAATGTTAAGATTTACATCCTGGAATCGCTGAGTTTAGACGATTCTATATAAAAAAAAAAAATTTTGACCAGGTAGGACCCACTGAGGTTCATAGCTCTTTTCAGAAGCGACCTGGCCACAATTGATAGCTCACAGACGTGGCTTATTACGTGGACATTTCTAGCAGCCAAACACTCTAAACGCACTTTTCTAAGTGTGAAGGGAAAAATTGGAGAACCCGGAGACAAATTCACGCGACTACGGGGAGAGAGACAAATACATGTACAGGCGTCAGGGCCGGGATTGAACCGACGACCTCCTGTATACCAGGCGAGGTAGTTAACATCTTTCAGCCACCGCAGCGAGATTTAAAATAATGACAGAGCAGCGACAACGAACAAGGAAACGAGCTGACTTCACCTGCAGCTAAATTATTAACACCACGAGACGCGCCCTGGAATGTTGCACGCGGTAGCCCGTACTCACCTGTGTAGACGTGGCGTCACATTCACACACAGTGTCAAGGTTAAAGAGTCGCAATTTAAATATTTTACAAAAACCCCACGGTAACCATGAGAACAGTGATGATTTGTCCTATAAACTGGTTACACCCGCTTGGGTGAGGCTGTGTTTTTCACTGTAAACCTCACCGTGTAAATTTTTATTAAAGCTTTAAAATTATAAGTAGGCTTTCACGACCAATATTATTCATTAAACATGTTTTTGAGTTAGATCGCATTAATATAAAAGTGTCGTTAAACTCGCCACCACCCAACACAACCAATGAGTAAGGTTTGTCACGTAAACAAAAAAACATCCGGCTCGGGTGAGGCTGTGCGTTTTGCCCAGCAAACCACACAGCTGTCAGTTCGCATTCAAAGTTTACAAAAAAACGATTCCCCTAAACCAGGGGGTTCAGAAACCAAAACAAGGAGAGACATTTTTTCTTATTTTTTATATTTCGGTAAGTAAAATAGAAACCAAACAAATAATTATTTCAAGAGCCGCAATGCAACGTGGTGTGAGTACGAGAGACGGTGCTGGTGGTGGTCCTTGATAAATAAGAACGTGGTGGGGGTACGAGAGACGGTGCTGGTGGTGGTCCTTGATAAATAAAAACGTGGTGGGGGTACGAGAGACGGTGCTGGTGGTGGTCCTTGATAAATAAAAACGTGGTGTGAGTACGAGAGACGGTGCTGGTGGTGGTGCGTGATAAATAAGAACGTAGTGTGAGTACGAGAGACGGTGGTGGTGCGTGATAAATAAGAACGTGGTGTGAGTACGAGAGACCGTGGTGGTGGTGGTTCTTGATAAATAAAAACGTGATGTGCGAACGAGACGGTGGTGGTGGTCCTTGACAAAAAAGAACGTGGTGTGAGTACGAGAGACGGTGGTGGTGCTGGTCCTTGATAAATAAGAACGTGGTGGGGGTACGAGAGATGGTGCTGGTGGTGGTCCTTGATAAATAAAAACGTGGTGTGAGTACGAGAGACGGTGCTGGTGGTGGTCCTTGATAAATAAAAACGTCTCACGAAGCAGCCGTCCCTCAAAGAGCCGCACGCTGCTACGGAGCTGCAGGTTGCAGACCCCGTGCCCTGAACCAACTGGCGTCAGCGTCAAGTAATAATAATTTAGTTATAATGTAATAATTATAATTATTAAATTATGATTACTAAATTGTAATTATTTGATCATTAGAATTAAAGTGGAAATTGATAATAAAAAATGATTTAGCGATTTTTTTTACATTTGTATCTATTAATAACTTAATAATTTAATAAAAATCTTGATTTGAAGCTTTCGTGACTGCAGGAATCCATATGTAGGGGTGATACGCGCTGGCAGTAGGGATCGTGGGGCAGCGCGTGGTGATTGGTTGTGTGCGCTGACACAAGCTGGGAAAAGGGATCGTGTGGCAGCGCGTGGTGATTGGTCAACTAGGGTGGGTGCTCACATCGAGGTCCGCATAGGCTCCGTCTCCCCGGGAGCGGAGGACTATAAAAGGCGATGCGCGCGGGCGCTCGGGGAGTTGGTGACCAGTGAAGACGGAAGACTAAGGAGGAAGAGATAGGGCCCTGAGACCCCTAGTCCCGCTGTCCTTGCAAGGGCCAGGACCCTGTGTGGCTCAGAGGCGGGACCTTGGGACCCGCGGCCGGACGTCCGTGTGAGGGCCGGGCCACGAGACCCAGTGGTCGTGACCCATACCCCAGCTGGGGTGGGTCTGTAGGTTCCCCTGGAAGCTACGGGGCTGGAGAGCCCGTGTGTGTGTAGCCGGGTGGAATGTGTAGCGTGAGCTATAGTGACCACACGTGTCGGGTGGAACGTGTAGCGTGAGCTGTAGTGACCACACGTGTTATTGTGGCAAGAACCAGTGTTAATAAAGTGTGCTACCCGTCAAGTGGTCTCCCGCCGTAATTTACAATATTACACATACATAAAGAACCAAAGAGTATTAACTTTACACTCACTCACTATTTTAACTGTACCTTGTAGAGGTTGTGGGCCAAGAAGAATCTCGGCTTGCATGCCTCACACACCATAACAAGGGAAGTGTGTATGGTCGCCTTACCATGAGATAGACTATTGTTTTATTTTAATCACTTGATTGGGAGATCAGATCGTTGACGTTTCGAACTATTTGACACGCGTTTGATGAGAACGCATTCTGTGCGAATTCTAGATTTGAAGCTTTCGTGACTGCAAGGATTCATATTTCTTAGGTTTTTTCGGTAAAGTCACGTAGGTAAAAAATGAAATTAAAATTAATAAAAATAAAATAATAAAAATCACGACGTTTCAGAGGCAACACAAGTCTCCGTCATCAGGTGGGACCGTCACAGCTAAATTTACTGTATCACTTTATTTTATTTTATTATTATTTTACCTACGTGACCTTACCGAAAAAACTTAACAATTGTTCTATGTTTGATCGTATCAAGTGATACAGCAAATCGGACTGTGACGGTCCCACCTGATGACGGAGACTTGTGTTGCCTCCGAAACGTCGTGATTTTTTGAATTTTATTTTTATTAATTTTAATTTCATTTTTTACCTACGTGACTTTACCGAAAAAACTAAGAGTATGAATTCTGTGCGAATATTGCCATTTCGAGGTGTTGCCTATTGGCTTGGTTTAACCACGTGATTGTGAGATTCGATCATTGATGTTCTTCTAACCATTTAATAAGGATGTATTGTATGAACCCATATGCCTGCATGAATAGGTAATTTTGATATTAGCTGTGGGTTGGTCTGTTAATCACATAATCTTGAAAATCTGGCTTTTGATGCTTTCTAAACATTTGCTAAGGATAATTTGCAACCGCCATTCGCCACTAAGTGGCGGTGACGTTACCACGACGCTTGTGCCAGGCCATGTGCACCTTGAGGCTACCACGTGTAGTGGCGAACGCCCGCTGACAGGAGGTCAATAATAATCAATAATAATCACACGCACATAATCACATACATAATAATCTAACACGCAATTACATACGTAATAATCACACACATAATCACAAAAACATAATCACAAACATAATCACATACACTTAATTAACTCAATCACAAACACAACTCACTCACATATAATCACACAATCACATACACAATAACATACACGTCCAATAAAAAATTTGAACACACACATGAATTACACTTAACACACATTTCCAGTTAATAACACTTAATTACACATGTTAACATATTTGACGTAATACAATTTTTCAAAATAAAATTTTAAATCATATATTAATTTTTACATTTAATTGATCATTTCACCACAATATATACAACAGACGGATGATCTCACATGAGGAGCGTGAGTAGCGGCATGGAGAGTTCGACTCCTGCCACCTCGACAACCGCGACGGCGACGTCTGGGGCCGTTTGACCGGGGGAGTACCGAGACTTGCGTC